ACTGTCCCGGGAGGATTCCACCCCTCGCTTAGCTACTGCAGCAACGTCCCTCCGCCGAGCCAACTTCTAAAAGGTCCGATTTTGTGCTCCGCGGCTCTATCACTTGCCAGAAGCGGCCGGCGGAGGCCCCTCCCCCGCCGTCTATCCTCCCGAATATCGCCTCGGATTCACTTCTCTGCACGCCCTACCTTCCAGTAAGTGGTCGCTTCTCTGTTCAGAGAGTTGTTGCTACTCTCCTGTTCGATCTCCTGTTGAGTTCGTAGGTGTTCAGAATGGTTTGATCCCTATTCAGCTGAATTCCTGAGACCAGACGAAATCTAGGTCTCCTACTCCTCCACCATCTTGCTCCGCCCCTTATTTAAATTCTTTTATTTAATATTTAAATTTGTTGAGATTTTTGTTTGTTTTGTTGTTGTTGTTGTTGTTGTTTGACCCAGGCTATGGTATAGTGCAATGAATGTTTTTGGGGTTTTGTTGTTGTTTTTTAAGATTTATTTATTTATTAGAGAGAGAGTGCGCTTGCAAGTTGGGGGGAGGGGCAGAGGGAGAGACTCTTTCAAGCAGACTCCACACTGAGCATGTAGCCTAACACAGGGCTCAGTCCCACAGCCTATGAGATCGTGACCTGAGCTGAAGCCAAGAATCAGATGCTTAGCCAACTGACCCACCCAGGGGCCCCTGCAATGAAGGTGTCATGGGTGCTTGAAAAGTATTTGTATTTTCCTTTCTTAGGCAGAGTGTTCTATAGGTGTCATTTACATCGTATTGGTTGATGGCATTATTCAGTTCTTTTATATCTTTGTTGATTTTTTTGATCTAATACTTCTACCACTTGTACCAGAGTGAGGCATTGAAATCCCCAGCTATATGTGTGGTTTTATCTCTCTCCTTTTAGCTTTATCAGTTTTTGTGTTATGTATTTTGAAGCTCTCTTGTTTAGTGCATCCACATTTAGGGATCACCATGTTTTTTTCTTGGTGAATTGGTCATTTTATTATTATGTAATACTCCTCTTTGTCTCTAATAATTTTTTTTTTTTGCTCTGAAGTCTGTCCAATATTAATATAAGTCACTTTTTAAAAAAAAATGTTTGCATGATACAACTCTTTGTGTCATTTTGCGTGAAGTAGGTTTCTTGTAGGCAGCATATAGTTGGGTCCAGTCTATGACTCTCTGTCTTTGGACTGGTGGATTTAGACCATTTATAAAACCTAAAATAATTATTGACATCTTAGGGTTTACGGACCCAGACTATTTTTTACTCATAGAATTCATTATATATCCTTATTCATTCAGCAATAACCAGAAAACACAAGTCAGATTCCTTCCTTCCTTCCTTCATTCCTTCCTGTCTTCCTTCCATCCATCCTTCAGAGCTTCTCACAGCATGACAACTGGGTCCTGAGAGAAGCATTTCCAAAATGTGAATAAGCATTTCAGGAGGCCCATGTGGAAACTGTAAGGCTTCTGAAGACTTAGCCTCGGGTCTTAATTTCTAGAAAGCCACTTCTGCCACATTCTATTGGTCACAGGCCCAACCCAAATGTAGTATGGGAGGCGACTACACAAGAGCAGGATCACTGGAGGCCTTCTTAGAGTCTGGCTACCACTATCACTCATTCATATGCTAGAGTTGAAATCTGAGTCATGGGTATAATTCAGACCGTATCAACTAGCTAGTCACTCTGAGACTCAACTTTCTCATTTGTAAATTGAGGAGCCTGCAGTAGATGACCACTTAGGTCCCTTCTGACTCTATGATTCTTCATTTGTTTCTCAGAGTGTCTTTATATCTTTTTTCCCCTGCCTTACTGAGGTATAGTTGACAGTCTAAAATTGTGTATATTTAAATTATGCAACTTGATGATTTGATAAATGTATTCTTTGTGAAATATTGACCATAACCAAGCTACTTAACATATCCATCACCTTATATACTTAACCATTTTCTCTCTCTTCAGATGGATTTCTTAACATGTGTATTAGCATATTACTATTTTACCTCTGTGTAAAAGGTGACTTAAGCATTGTTACAATAATCTCTGAACTACTCTAAAGCTCAGTTTGGCAAACTAATGCAGTTACCATTGGTTCCAGAGGCAGCCAATATCCAATATTAGAGTGCCTATAGATTATTTTAGCTATAGTCAATGGATCATTAAAGAAGCTAGAAATCTTATCTCAATTGAGCAGTAGCAAAGCAACTTAACATTGGCCAGATTATTTCACAGAACTCTTCTTTCTGAATAAAATGAAAATCTGCCAATTACGGCTTTTCCCTTCCAACTTATATACATTTGATTATAGAGGTAATCGATCAGATTTTATTTTGTAATTTATCTATTGTTATAATTTGAGCCTTGCTAAGCCTCCCCAAGCTTCCATTTTACCTGAATAACTTTCCCCCCAAAAAATCATAACTTGCTTTAAAAATAGTAAGACGTGAGTAGGACCACATCCTGTTCATTGTACCTTCCAATCTGTGCCAAGGTCCTGACTTAAACTCAGTCTTGTCATAATCAGCATTAGAATAAACTGAGAGTTTATTCAGATATTTTAGACAGAGTCCCCATTCATTTGAGTGACTCCTTCCCAAGGGGAACACTTTGAAAGATAATACTCATTACTTTAGTTCAGGTATTTTTGAGGGGTTTCTTTACTGTATAATCACACGTTATATATGGTCTTTTAAAATTATTCCTGACAGTTGTAATTCATTGTTACGAGGTAAAGTATATGTGGTTTATGGATTCCACATCAATGTACTGTATGCCTTTGGCTCCCAGTGGCATAGTCTTCTTGAAGCTGTCCCAAATGTTTATTTTCATGTTTATGCTCCTATACTGGAATGGGGGGCAGAAACCTTCTTTTATTCATCTTTGCATCCCCTGTACCTGGCATCCTCTAGATACCTAGTAAGCTTATTGAATGAATTGGGGCTGGTATATGGGTGAGACTGATCTTTGGCCCTAGTCACATCATAGTCCTGTATTGATAGATTGCATGAGGATTCTTGCTCTATGATAATGGATAGAATAATAATGAATGGAAGTTATTTTGGGCAGCATTGCTTAAAATTCATTTCATTGACAATACTAAAGATTTCTTTTTTTTCTTTTTTTTAAAGATTTTATTTATTTATTTGACAGAGACAGAGATAGCAAGAGCAGGAACACAAGCAGTGGGAGAGGGAGAAGCGGGCTTACCCCCGAGGAGGGAGCCCGATGTGGGGCTCGATCCCAGGACCCTGGGATCATGACCTGAGCTGAAGGCAGACGCTTAACGACTAAGCCACCCAGGCGCCCAGTACTAAAGCTTTCAAAAAACTTTTTACAAGTATACATTTTGACTTACCATGCTTTTGATCTTACTCTTTATATTCATTTCACCTTGTTTAATTCCTATAAGCTATTCTCAAGGAAGGTCCATAAGGAAGAAATATGAATCCTGTATCCAGTGAAATGTGCCTCTCACTGAAATTTCACATGTATTCATACTAACCAGATACATAAAAATAAAACATAAAAACAGTGATTGAATATCTAGGTATAGTATGATTAGCAGTGAAGTAAAGTCATGATCCTGTGTCTAAAGTTTTCATCCAGTGTGTTGTTAGTAATAGAAGTTCAACAATATAGGTTTTCACCTGAGAAAATAGATGTGGATAGAAAGCATCCTGTGTATTATGAGTCTGATTTTTTTTTACACTGTGAGTTATTACAAAACTGTTAGGGAAAGGAAGAACATACTGGGACTTACTAAAGTTTCTATTAAAATATAATATGATTACCATTAAGTTATGTCTTTCCTTTATTTTATGTGAGCTAAGGTAATAAAGCTTATTAGTAAAATTTCGGAATTTATACCCACTTAACCAAAGGTATTTGACCAAACACTATTTTTTGGAGATAAATGTTTAAATGATCTTTGTGTCTCTGAGAATAGTTTAAGGAGATAAAGCTTCCTACCACCTTAGGAAAAAGACTGATTTGAGGGACAACATCTGACACTAATTTATTTACCCTCCTACTGATTGGTTTCTCAGTGATTGATTTGATTTTTTTCTTTTATGATTTGATATTTTACAGTTCAGCTTTGAATGATGTATTTTAAGTCCAGAAATAGCCCCCAGAATAAATATTCTTGGGTTTAATTTTGTTGTGTCTGTCTTCAGGAGGAATAGGCAGAAGTTAGATTCAGGGGGTGCCAGGCTGGTAATTTGGCTCAAAGTGCATGGGGAGAATAATCTCTCTCCTTAAATGAAGCACAAGGATAAGTAATAACTTTTTATGCATGATAAGCATCAAAAATATGAACCTGCTGGTCTTTGCTTTTCATTTTTCTTTACCTCTGTCTTTCAGTGAGAACCTCCTGCAGTGTGCACACGATGTGATCAATAACTCAATAACTTTTTTCATGCAGTAATTATCTCCATGTGATATCTGAACACTGTTTTTCTTTATTACTCCGAAGATGCAGGAGATATTTATATAACCAGCTGATCCCATTTTGGATAAAGGTGCTTTGTGACAGCAGGAAGAATAGTTTATTTTAAATAGCCGTTTTAAATAAATGCTCTATGAAAAGCTTTTCCAGTTAATTTTCACTTAGCATGAGAAGGTGATTACCAAACGATTTAGAACTTGTACTTTGAATATTTAACAGTATGATAGTCATTCTTTCTAACTTCTAATAATCACAATTTAAATTAAAATATCGAACTTTTTTTTCAGATTTCATACATTCCTATTCGAACTTTTTTTTTTTAATGAGGAATTCTTAATCTCAGGAAACAAACTGAGGGTTGCTGGAGTGGTGGGGGTTGGGAGGGATGGGGTGGCTGGGTGATATTCGAACTATTTTTAAAAAATATTGAACTACTTAACATACCTATAATTTTTTCCTGGTTCCTCTAACTCACTTCAGATATTTACAGAGGGGTGAGCTAAACACATTAAGTTCTACTATCTCTGCTTGTCTCACGGAGATTTTCATTATAGGCAGAGATCCTGCAAGAGTCCCGGATGATGATCCCAGATTGCCAGCGCAGGTTGGAAGCAGCGTATACCGATCTTCTGCAGTTATTAGTAAGTATATTCTTCTCTGTGTTCTGTTTAAATGTTCTTTCAGTCTAATACATGGAAGGCCAAAATCTTAAGTATTCAATGCTGTAAACTAGTTAGGGACATATTTTGTTCACTTGCCCTGTGTATCAGTATATTTTAAAATAATTAATAGAGATTAAATTGTGTTTTAATTAACCTCCAGTAGAAGTACTATAACCAGCATGTTTATTCTGTTTATTTAAACTTAGTTAATTAAATATATTTGAGTTATTATGGTAGATATTCAGAGCCCGGACATTGTCCAGCAGTATCTTGAAATATTTAGTATTTATACAGAAAGATCTTTTTTTGGCACATTAAAGATAAGTAGACTATTTAAAATTTTAAAAGATCCAAATGTTTCAAATGAATTTGGGCCCTTATGAAAAGGATCCGGAATTCTTTTAGAGTCAAACTTTACTCAGTTTGAGAGGGAAAAACACCTTGTAATATAGGCAGTCCTTTCATATTAACTTGGAGCTGGATCACACTGTTAACTGTACTTGCTAATAAAATGCCTTGTGATACAGTGGCAGAATCATTTTATAAAAGATTCTAAAAACAATTAAGTCCCCTTATTTCTTTCTTAATGGAGATAACTGCATAATACTATATTCAAGCCAGTTGTTTTTGCTGTTTGATGGTAATTTGATGGATTCCAACATTTCCTTTACTAATCTCATTTTATGTTTCTGTTTCTTGAGCTAATATTAACTAGCTACTAGCTGTCTCATGATTCATAGTTGTGCCTTCTATAACAAAAATCTTGTGAGGCTTTCTCAGGATGATTATATGTATTCTTTGAAAAAGAATGACATTTGTTTTCCCACCAAAATAATATTAGGACTGTATCTGTAAGAAAAAACAAATAGAGATATGTTCACATTTTACTTTAATTTTGACACAGAACTCCATATTTAGATATAGGAACCTTTTAAAGTCAGGATAACTCTCCTTAACAGCCAAAAATAAAGCTGTGGTTTTGAAATAAAAGATAGAAATAATTACTATATTAAAATACTGAGACAGAGCACCATTTTTATTTACTGACAGCTTAAACGCTTTTTTCTCTCATGAATCTAGTAGCTGAAAAGGTAATAGAAATTGCTTGAAAAAAGTAATACTGTCTTTGGATGATATATTTGTGTGTATGGATGTATTCAACAATATTTCTACCCTCAAAGAGCTTACACTTAGTAACAGAGAACAGAGACATGTTTAGGTAGAAATTTTGCCTATAATCTGAGGTAAGCAAATTCTCACTCCTTTTGCTTTAAATTTTCGTGTTAAAGAAACAAACATACTTTATTCCCTCTGCTCTGTAACAGTATATCTCCAGCTTTTATTGACCTGACACGAATAACTGATCATAGCTTTATTATTTAAGTAAAGATCAAACAAAAGTTCATATGCAGAATAACTTAGATGATATTATTTCATTTATCTCTTAGCATAGTAGTATATTAGTAAGAGCTTTATGTATAAAGTATCAAGGAAAAACTCAGCCTTTAAATATAAAAAAATAAAAGATGTTAGCATTTTGTTTCCTTGTAGTATGATACATAATAATAAGCAGACAGTTCAGTTTTCTAATTCAGAGATTATACTTACCTCTGGTGTGATACCACTAGCCTTTTTTGTCATTGTGGGTAGTTGTAGGATCATTGTTGTCTGAATGTTATATATGTAACATTTTAGTAAAGCATCATTTTTAATTTTTAGTCCATTAATAATAGTCCTTTTTGTATGGTGACATGTTGACAAAATGAGAATAAATTTTTTTTCATTTTTCTGAGGTTTTAATTTAGTTACTTAATGCTAATAGCTTTAGATAACCCTGTTTTTCACTTATTCCATGAGAATGTTATACAGTGAAACAACAAAACCTGTTATTTCTTCTCTTACCTATAAGGAAAGAACAAAACTGTGTGAAATTATACACTGTTTAGATGAGGTTTAGAATCCTTTTTAATTTTTTGAGCTCTTTATATTGATGGTTTGTAATATTTGAGTAAATAACAGCACTGAAGTTTGAGAAGGATAAATCTAATTTTTATTATATTTCATTTCAGGAGAGTGAAAAAGACTTGGAAGAAACTGAGGAATATAAGGAAGCACGTTTAATATTGGATTCAGTAAAGTTAGAAGCCTGAAGTTTTTCTGTACAGGGTGTTTTTTGCATTAAATCTTGGCATCCATTCCACAATTCATTATTTTTGACCACTGCTGTATGTTCAACTAGTATGAGAATGCGATTCTTTTTATGCAGTTGCATATACTTTTCTTTGCCTCATTTAATGTGTCAAATAAATAAGTTCATCTAATAAGATTGTTTATTTCATACTTTATAAAATATTTTTAATTAACCTTACCATTAAATCATAGACATTTTTGATAATTAAAATCTGTTAGGTTCTCTTTGAAGTCTAGGTATTTTGCTTTATAAGTCTGGATTGAGTTAAAAATAGGATACCTTTTATTTTTAGATAAAAATCCAAATTTTGAATAGTTTATTCTGAATAGGGTACAACTCCCTCAAAAGAAAGGAAGAACTTCTCTGTGAATAAGGCCTCACATATTTATCCCTTCACAGTGAAAGTCTAACATTTCCATTACTGTTAACTAATGGAAACATTTAAATCTTTTTCCAGAAAGATAGATTTATACAAAAAACATCAAGGATTTAGATCTTCAAATAAGATTCTTATGAACAAAGAATTGAAATGTATTTTAAAGGAATAATAATGGTGTACTGGGAAGTGTTTAACAGATCTTCAAAATGGAAAGGGAGCATCTTACTTCTGTGGTATAAATACTCCTGCTGTGACTAATTTCAAGCTACTAACATGACATCACTGAGCCCAAGGTTGGGAAGATATGAGCCAGCTCCAGCATACACTGTCCATAGCCAGACCTGGATAATCTTGATTGATTGGAAAAGATTATCATTTTACCACAAAGTATTTTTCCAGTACAGTTGTAAACCAATTAATTACCTAAATCATTTGAGCTTATTTTCTTAAAAATACATGACAGCTCGTTTAGTTTTCTTCTCTTTCTTGAAAATGTGTATAAGCCTTGTATCATCAGCCTACCATGAGCAGTGATCTAATGAACTAAAATACTAATAATAGCATTTAAACTTTAAAACTCATAATTGAAAAAATAACAAAATCTGAATTTTTGCTGCTATGAGATACATACTCGTAGGGTAATTCATCTGATTTTGGAAGTCGCTAATGATCACTAGAAACCATAACATTTATTGAATCTGTCAAAAAGAGCAGAGAAGAGAAAAATAATACTATTCTTTCCTGCTGTTATTTCTAAAGGATACTCTGTTGTTTTAAAGCACAGAATCCATCATTTTTAAAATCTTTATACATGCAGAAAATTACTTCATCATAGCCTAACATACACCAGAAGCACTTCTAAGGTGAAATGTCATCATCTTAAAACATATTACATGCCTTTTTTAAAGTATATGAGGTGGGGGGGGGCGGAGTGAGAAAATAAGACCATAATTACAATGTAAAACTTTTACTAAGGCTTGCTTAATTAGAGATTTGAGTAGCAGGAGAATTAAAACTCTATAGATTATTTTGTGGTTGGTATTAAGCACCAGAATAGGTTGGCTTCTTGGGGTGGGAGTGGCATATTTAGTTTTCCAAGTAAGATACCATTTAAAGAAAGTATTTTACCATTTTTTTAATGTAAAAAATCTCATTTCAGCCTTCTGCCAAATACATAAATATCATATATATTCAAAGCAAAAAATATTGGTCCCTCCAGAAAAAATTCTGAAAGGGAATTTTTATAGCCAGGACCCAAATCTTGGTTGCTAAAAAAAAAATTATTTTCTTGCCAAAAAGCCTAGGAAAGAAAAAATTAACAAGGTAGATGAAAATAAATGTACCTTCAGAGAATTGCTATCTCAATTTTAGATTTCATACTGGATATCTCTCCAGACATTGATGAGAAGCAGCAAGAACCTTCACAGGCTTATTCCTGGAAGTTTTTGACATATTCCACTTCTGTTTTCATGGCCAGCAAGAGGCACAGGAAGTTAAGAACAGTTGTAATTCATTCAGTGTTAGCTTGTTTTTAAGCTTTTAGTTAAAACCTTACATCTGTAGGATAATAAGTAGAATTTTCCAAAAGTAACGTTGCCTTTTTCCCTCTCCAGTATCTGACCCCCAACCAACATGTAGCAGTTGCTCAGTAAATATTTGTAGAATAAGTGAAAAGCAAGAGGTAAAAACCTCTGGAGTCAGAGAAAGAATGCTGTGAAGGATACCATCACATCACAAACACACTTAATAATATTTTTACTGCAAACCTCAATAAGAAACATGTTTTCCATTGTGACCCAGTACCTACTTTTGGAGGTCTCTGTATACATAAAACAGTAAGTATCTTTAATATGTACAATTCTCAGTTGTTTTTTATTCTGTTTTTTTTAACAATGATTATGACCACCTGCTATTGGATTGTGAATAACACTACCCTAATACAATTATATAAAGTGCTTCTACTTAAAAGAATCGTCTCTTTGTGTCTCTCTCTATTTATGATAAGCAGTAATTGTTTATCCTATATATAAATAAGTAATAGTTTATAATACATATAAACTTGGGTCTCAGAGCAGTTGTCTCTGAATGTGTGCAGTTATACACGTAGCAGGTATAAAGTGTCATTGTAACATGTAATCATTTAATATTTGTTTGTTAGGTGCCCTTAGTCCTTGCACAGACTAATAATGGCTTTCATCGAGTAAACAGGCAAAACAAAGACAAGTGACAGAATCAAGCTGTAAACCTAACTTTTCTGTATTTTTCTGCATAGCAAAGGGCACATAATTTCTAAGGAAGTAAGAATGTGCATAGGATAAAGAAGTAGAAACATAACCTGTGGAATGAATTAAAGTAACCAAATCCAATGAATGTCATTGAGAGCATTTCCAAGTTCTAGCATTTTCCCTTGGACATTCTTGGCTAGTGAAGATTCAGTCCTAGTAAATGAAAGTACTCCACCAAAGTCCTGGACAGGAGCTTTGTGGCTGGGCTTCTGAGACATTTACATTTTGGGTGAGTGTTAACATTTCAAGAACGAGGCTGTCCTGTACCATAAGTTATGTAAACAGTTCCTTGGGAAGGAATGGAACTTGTATCAAGTTTAAAAAAAGTGCTAAAAGTGCACTTATGAGAAATGAAAGCTAGTTAAAACAATATATTTTAACGTTCATTTAACATTTCTTGATTTTCTGGTCAGAAACATTCAAAGCCCAATATTTAAAAGTCGTCTCTATGCCTACACCTGTGCACTGAATCACCTCCAAATTGAGCAGTCAAACCTGGTTAATCTAAATTACTTTGCAAACTTCATTACATTACTTGGCTTTTTAAAAATCCTATCAAATTTAATAAGGACATATCCTACAGCTGGTTATCACTTAAATCTTACTGTTTGGTCATTTAGATAAACCAAGGGCAGATTAATCCTTTCTCTGCAAGTTAGGGCCTTTAAATGTCAGTGTAAACTTGACATGTATATGAGCAAGAGCTGTAGAGCATTTGGCATTAAAGGGTTAATCAGATCATTTAGTCCTTGAGACTCTTTTGAGTGCTTTTAGCTGGAAAGAAATTGAATGGTTGAGAAATGGTGCACTATGAAACAAGTTATAAGTATTAGTGTACTTGAAATTTTGAAGAGTGCTTCATAAAAATCTATATTGCACTCCACTGTCCATCTTACTGCTCTTATAATACGAGAGGCCTTTGTTCATGTATTGGACTGTTGCGCTGAAGGTATAATTAATTTACAAGACAGTAGATCAAAACTTTATATTTTGTTTCTTGCTTTGTGTTGACTGCTGGATAGTTGACAAGGTTCTTTTAAAGTCTTGGGAATATATGTCATAAGAGGTTAATATTTTTAATACACAAAGAGCCCTTTCAAATTAATAAAAAATCCCTACTATGAGAAATAAAGGATAGAAACACAAGTCATAAAAGAAGAAATACAAATGGATAGGTTTTTCAAAAATGTTTCACTTCAGTAATAATCAAATTCCGATCTTAAAAATAATGAATCAAATTTTTAAAAAATGAATACCTGTTGGCTTGATGTGATAAAATATTGGCCAATGAGACTAGATAAAAGGATGAAATGAGAAAGAGTGAAAAAGATGCATCATTCTCACTGTATGCAGTTGATAAGATATGTACCAGGTAAATGCAAGAGTCACCTGTAAGATAACTAGAAAGAATGAGGTAATTAAAGTGGACAGCTGCAAAATTAATATATAGAATTGTTATGGATTGAATTATGTCTCCCCAAAAGGTATGTTGAAATCCTAACCCCCAGTACTCAGGATGTGACCTTATTTAGAAATAGGGTCCTCACTGATGTAATTAGTTAAGGTGAGGTCATACTAGAATAAGGTAGGCCCTTAATCTATGACTGGTGTCCTAAAACAGTGTGAAGACACAGAGAGAGATTGGAATGAATTATGCAAGCCAAGAAACCCAAAGTGACACTAGAAGCTACAAGACAGGCATGAAACAGATTTTCTTAGATCCGATTTCAGACTTAAAGCTTCCAGAACTGTGAGACAATAAATTTCTGTTGTTTTAAGTCACCCAGATTGTGACACTTTGTTACAGCAGTCCTAAAAGACTAATACACAGAACCCCAGCTTTTCTATATGCCAGCAATAACCAAATATAATGGAAAAATAAATCCCTGAGTCATAGAAGACAACATTTTAAAAAATGACTTGTATATATAATGGAAAGTTAGTGTCAAAACATGGTTTATTTTTATGTCAATTTGTAAAATCAATGAAATAAACTACAACAGGGTTGGATGGAGGAGAATCTTAGGAAATGACTATAAAATCCAATTAAACTGGGGTGGGGATATGAAAAAGAATAGTAATGAGGGAAAATTGGTTTTGCTCACTATTAAAACTTTGTCAAGTTGCAGTAATTAAATGTATGGTAAAAGAATAGAAGACCAAAGAGAATAGAACTCAGGAGTGAACTCAAATATATACTTATGGGAATTTAGTATATGATAAAGGATATTTTAGACCCTTGGGTGAAAGAGATTATTCAATAAATCATATTGGGATAACTGGCTAATCATTGGGGGGGGATAAAGCTGGATCTCTTTCACCTCTCACACCAAAATAAATTTTAACTGAGTCAAAGATCAATATAAAAAAAAAAACATTGAAAGGTAGAAGAAAACTGGTGAAACTAATAGATAAATGAATTTTAAATTGATAATACGCAGTGAGTGTATAGGGAAATAGAAACAATACACTTAGTGAAAATATGTTAAAGATAGAAATTCTCCACAAATTACATAAATGTAATACCACAATTATCAAAATTGTATATATAGGAAAAAATTATTCAAGAAAATCTTGAAAATGGGGAATTAGGAAGAGAGGATAAATGTAGGAGATAATGCAGTTGGATATTGAAACTTAAAATGCATTTAAAACAGTAAAACTGGCTAAGATTAAACTCAGTGGAGTAGACTAGAAAACCCAAACAAGCCCCAAGTATATATAAATACGTAAGTACCTGACAGATGTAAAGGATGGATAATAAATAAATGGAATTAGGAAAAGTCCATTATTGATTTTTTAAAAAAATTTTATTTACTCATTAGCACTAGCGAAGGGGCAGAGGGAAAAGCAGGCTCTCCGCTGAGCAGGGAGCCCAATGTGGGGCTCAATCCCAGGACTCTGAGATCATGACCTGAGTTGAAGGCAGATGCTTAACCAAGTGAGCCCCCCAGGCACCCAGAAAGTCTGTTACCTATTGAGAAAAATAGATTTCTATCTCATCCCACACAACACAAAACTTAAATGGATTAAAGAATTATAATTGACCCTTGAACAATATAGGCTTAAACAGTGTGGATCCACTTATACACAAATTTTTTTTATAAATATGGTACAGTACTAGAATTGTATTTTTCTTACGATTTTCATATTTTCTCTAGCTTACACTGTTGTAAGGATATAGCATATAATACATAAAACACAAAATATGTGTTAATCAACTCTTTATGTTCTGGGTAAGGCTTCCAGTCAACAGTCAGTTATTAGTAGTTAACTTTTGGAGGAATCAAAAGTTATATGCAGAATTTTTTACTGCGTGGGGGGATGGCCAGCACCCCTAACCCCCCCATATTGTTCAAGGGTCAACTGTAAATTTAAGCACCAAGTATTTCTTGAGCCTCTACTGTTATATTAGCCAGGCACTATAATGGAGCTGGGATGCAATAGTAAGCAAGACAAGCGAAGATCTCTACTCTTGAGGAGTATACAACTCGTGGAGACTGACAATAAATATTAGCTATGCAGCTAAGAGCAATCCCCGAATTACGTTGCAGAACAGATCCCGTAAGGACAATAAAGCCATTATATGGCTATCCCTGGACACTGCACACAGCCAGTTCCCTCTCTGCTATGGTTGTCCTAGGACCTCTGGCGACCACCAACACCATTGCCACCAGAGAAAGTGCTACATCATCATCCTTGCTCTACAACACCAGTTCCCATTGCAAAGTCTATGGTGAGTGTTTCCGATTGGTGGAGCCAAGGTTTAGGCTCATACCCTCCCTTTGGCAAACAGGGCAAAGAAAACAAGCATTTGACCTTTTTCAGCATCTATCATGCAAGGTTCTGTCCCTGAAACACTTGTGGGTAGATGGAGGTGGTATTCAGATGCTGAAAATCAATAAAAGACATGGGTGATAAGAATTTTAAGACCAGAGTAATTACCTGGGACACTTCACAGACGAGATGGAGGGTGAGACTTGAATGATGGTGGGATGCAAGGAGGGAAGAAAGGTGAGCAGTTGTAACTGTACTTCTTACTGCTGTGTATCTAAGAAGGAAGTTACCGGCCTCTGTGGAATGGAGTGGTGGGCTTGCTGGACTGAAGAGTCATGGAGAAAGCTGAAGTGGACAGGTAGTCAGGCTAGGTTTTGAATGCGCTTGGAAGCCAAGCGGGAAGCTTGGGCTTTAATGACCCAAGCCATGTGGAGACTCGGAGGTTCTAGACGCAGAGTGACACGTTGTCCCTCATGTCTAAGAGTGTTTCATTCATTTATGTATAAAATCTTTGTTGTGCAAGATAATAGGAATAGAATGGTGAACAAGAAGAGGTACACTCCCTACCCTCAGGTGACCTCCAGTGTGGCAAGAAGGACAAACAGAGGACAAGCAAATACAATATAGCAGAAGAGACAGAATAAGGAAGACAGAATAAGAAAGCTCTAGTGGCTGTAGGTACACAGGGATGGGGGCACTCAGTGTAGCTATGAGTGATGGAGGAGGCTTCCTCTGGAAAGTGAGATTTAAATTGAGACCTGAAATATTCCAGCCAGAAGAAACAGCAAACCATGTAGATCCTCACACTTTTAAAGCTCGCCCCCAAAGTTCCATAAATGAGACACAGATTATTAGTGTCGTGTTTAAGAATATGCATCATGTAGAGAGAGACACCGCATGGGTTCTACA